AAGGAACATTTTAACAGCCGATTAGAGAAATTTCTATAGGAACATGAAGGGAAATTCTCATTCTGGTAAAAATCTCTCCAGACAATTATTAAAATTTTTATCACAAAAATTAGGGGTCTTGTGCCAGACAATCAAGGGGTTATTCTCACAGAAAAAAATGCGGATCGTAAAGTATTTGTTTCACAGCAAATTAACTGATATTTACACAGAAGATCAGGAAATTTTCCAACAGAAGAAATCAAGGAATAAATAGCCCAAAGTGAAATGTCATCGGTTTAAGGAGAGCAGCAGGTACATTTCCCGGCATAGTAGAGGAATATAATGAGGATTTGATCCTGAAGAAGCACATTGACTACTTTATAAAGTTATTTACAGAATGAACATTTTACCGACTTCAGGCTAGATACAAAGATTTTATATTCAGCTAAAATAAATTTATATAAGCATTGAAAGAGCCGTGTCAGTTATAAAACTATAGTGTGATTGATGACTGGACCTAAACTAACCAACTATGCTATAGCAGGTCAATACAGCTTACACAGTGAATTAACCCTTAAGCTTAGCTGTAGCACTGTGTAATTTGAAATTGTCGAAAAATAAATAATATAAATTAAATTTGAGAAAAATTAATCTATTAAATAAGACATTTATTCTTCTTTCTTTGTGGAAAATTGTCTGTGTTATTTTTTCTCTTTGGGATATTTCCTAGTTTTGTTGTTAGGTTTTTGTTTTATTTTATTTTATGTATGACACAATTTGTAATTTGTTGTTTTTAACAATTTGTATGGTATGGTATTCTTTTTTTTATAATTTCAATTATTTATTTAATTTTTTGTTAAATAGACATTTTGCCGGTAATCAAATGTCGATTTCTTTTGTTTGTTTTACACTCTAACCTATGAAATGATAGGTACTGGTTTTTCTTTCTTTATTAAATATTCATTATTATTTTTGGGTTTTTTTGTTTTTGTTTTAATATTTAATAATATTTGGCAGTTTTTTGGTTTTTATAAATGAACTTTCGTTTTTTGGTTTTTTTCTTCTTCTTTTGTTTTAATAATGAATCATTTATTTCCTTCTTCTTGTTGTTGATCTTGTATCTGTAATAAAATATGTTTCTTTAGTAGTTTAGGTGTTTATAGTTTTTTTGTTATAATATTTTACATTTGAAATTTTTTATGTGTGGGGGGTGGATGAATAAAAGTGAGTGGCGGGTAATTTTCTTCATGTATTTTTGTTTGTTATAGTTAATATTTTTGTTATTATATGTAACATAAAAACATAAAATATTATTGATACAATTTGGTGGTACAAAATGTAGATATTTCCGTTGGTATAAGTTATAAGTACTTTTTGTTGTTGTTGTAAATAAATAATATTTAAAATATATGTAAATATTTTTTAGAAAATATACCAATCAGATTTAAGAAGAAAAAATTGTTTGAAAATAGTTCGAAAAAAATGCAAATATTAATCAAAAGTTGTTATCAATAAAAATTTGCAGTGGGGTAATTATATTAATTAATATTAATGATGTAGTGCTAAAAATATTTTTGTATGTCATTCTTGAAGGACAATGATTATCCTTCATTATGAACGAATCCTTTAAGAATCATGCTCCTAAAAAATTGAACTATTTTCTGTTCGGTATTTCTAAAAGATCGCTTAGAACATTCCATCGTTCCAAATGGAATTTAGTGCATTTAAGTACACATTTTTCGCAGAAAAAAATATTTTAAAATCTGCAATAATCAAATTTTCACCGATAATGAAAATTTCCAATTGGGAATATACAGAATCTGTTGACAATTTTAATCAAATTTTTTTTTCTCGCCCGCAACTATAGTATATATAACCTAAATATTATTTTGTACAAGTTATAAAGAAATCCAAGCAATTTATGAAAACTTTTCATTAGATATATGAATTATTTCCTTTTATAAAAATAGATTTAAAATTCTATCTCTATAAAAATTAATATTGAGCTATGCAATTTTCCTCTCTTGAAATTTCATAGCTTAATATTCCGAGCAGTAAGAAAATTCAAGAATCCTATTCTTAAAATATATGATTAATTTTATTGCATATATTTCTGAGATCGCAACATATATATTTATATATGTATGTTCTGTGTTCATAAATTTATGTACTGTGTTCATAAATTTATGTACAATGTTCATAAATTTATGTACTGTGTTCATAAATTTATGTACTGCGTTCATTCATAAATACAAACTGTTTTAGAACTCGATTCCTAAAATATAGGAATGTAATTCTCTTCTCTCATAAATACGTATTTATTGATTTGTGAATTTTGTACATAACTATAGAAATTATGTTTTGTTCGGATTACAAATATGCTTCTGAAGGTTGATAGTACAGAGTCCTCCAGTTCGGAATATACAATTAGTTTTTATTTTATTTATAGAAAACAATCATACGTTATGAAATTTTTCTGAAGTTTTCATCTTTTGCAAAACATATTTCACAATTTATGAAATTTGTACATAAATTTATGAAATATTTACTAACATTTAGGAAATTTGTTCCGAAATATTCTGCAGCATTGTATTTACAAGCATGAATTTGTCATATTGCATCTTAATTGCATCTGAATGATATGCAACATTCACACGAATGATGTATTTTGATGTATGAACAATTTTCATGAAATTTAGAATATCATTCATATTTATTTGTAGTATTATAAATGTTGACATTATTTGTGGAACATTTTTATATTTTATACTACAATAAAAGTCAGCGATTTCCTTTTGAAGATTGTTCGAAAGATTTCTTCATAAATTTAGTTCATTATTTTAAGAAAACGAGTAGTATTATGTATGTTTTTCCTAAATTAGGAACTCTTCATATAAATATCAAAACATTTTGAAAACATTACAATTCAAATTTATGAATTATTTTTCAAAAATATTATCATTTATGAAATTTTGTCATAATTTTCGAAAACAATTTCTATTTTCTGTTTTATTATTAGAGTTCGTCATAATTTATGAACAATAGTTCTTAAATGTATGAATTATTTTTTTTACAATAAATACGATACAATGACTGATTGCAAATGGAAGGGGGTTCTGTCTCTTTCGCAGTAATCGTGAATAGTGTATTATAATTTATGAACTTTTTTTTCATAATTTCAAAACACCATTTCTATTTTTAAATTCCTACAGATTTTACCGATATACCTTAAGTATAGAACTGAATTCGTATAATAAGTATTTATAACACCATTTGTTATCAATTGTGTTCGTAATAATGTATGAAATAGTTCATAGATCCATATAAAGTGTAATATAACAATAGGCCATCAATGTATGATGGCTTCTGTCGGTGAAATAATGTATTCTGATTTATGAACACTATTCATAATTTGTGAATTCCGATAATATTACTTGAAACAAGGTCTTAAGTTTCAAGAAAAATATTTAAAGAGTGAAAAAAAAAAAATAAAAATTGTATAAAAAAATATATCTGCCTTCAAAAATGATTTAAGAAAAAATTACGTTAATACTATGAACATTGTTCACAATTTGAGAATACCTTCATTGTTGTTAGAACGTCAATAAAAATTATATTTCCTAAAAAAGTTTAAATAGAATTATTTTTTTAATAACTGATTGGTATATTTTCATCTACAGTAATAATACGAAAAATAAATTAAATTATTACACTTTTTTCAGAAATGGTAATTATATACGTGTTTTTTGTTTTGTAATTTATTGTTGTTGTTAAAAATTTCTTTCTTATATCCTGACATTAGCCACTTGATATAAATTTAACACCACCACTATAATATGGTGGCAGTATGATGAAAAAGATAATGATATTGTGTGATGTTGTAGCTGTTGTTGTTATTGTTGTTGGTGGTAATTTGGAAATTTGATGGATATTTGCTCTCCGATATGCTGGCATCATGCAATTGTTGTTGTTGGTGTTGGCAATTGTCGGAACAATTTCGCCATTGGCAATTTCGATGCCACCAATCATTGATATTGAAATTATAATCATAATAAAAATAACGATAATTATTTAGTTTACTATTATAACTAATTTTTGGGGAGTTGTTCGGATAGTAATGGCGATGGTGAACCGGATGATTCAAATTTAATGATATATATCGTCTGGACATGATGGTATAATGTGTTTGGTGTTTTTTAATGGTGGTGGTTGTATTGGAAATCTGTTTTAAATTTATATGCCTACAATGGTTGTCCACAATGATGATGTTGTTGTTTTTGTTGTGGTTTTTTGAAAAGAGAACGAATGGAAATGCTTCTGATAAAAGAGAACTGCGTTTAGGAGCCTGAATTCTGCAGATGCTACCAATTTTGTTTAAGGATATTGTTGTATTATGCTGATGGTGAGAATGGCTCCTTAATATTTTTCTTTTTGTTGTATTACATTGTAATTTTGTTATTATGGTAAATTGTTGTTCTTGGTTTTGTGGGTCTTGTTGTTGTGGTAGCTTAGATATTACATTTGTGTCATTCGTTTTATTATGATTAACTTTATTATTATTATAATAATAATCATAATTATTATTTTTATATATGTTATTAATGTTATTTATATTAATATTATTATTATTAGTATCTTTAAAATTACATGTACTAAAATTAAATTTCAATTTTTTCATATTTTCTTTATAATTTATTTTAACATGTTTTTTGTTATTTTTGTCGTTATTATTTTTTCTCTTAATATTTGTGGTTTTAATTTTATAGTTGTATTTATCATTAGTATTATTAAATATAGTATAATTATTATTATTAGTATTATAATTTTTATTTATATCATTATTATTACAACTACAACTAATTAAACTACAACTACAGTGACTAAAACTAACATTACTACAATTCATGTTCTTTTTCTTCTTCTTTGTTACTTTGTTTGTTAGCATTCGCCTTCTTCTTCTACTGCTGCTGCCTATGCTCATCATCGGCATCATCATCATCGTCGTCGTCGTCGTTATTTTCTTATATATAAGTTTCATCATTCGTCGTCGTTTTGGCCTCGTGGGGCATGACTGATGTCTGGCCCACCAATACCACCAGCCATTCAAATGTGTCAATTTCCGTTTCCGATGCGGCTGGGCCTGTTGCATAAAGGATTTCAAACGATTTGTATAGTGCACCAATAGGATTAGTGCATTTTTACTATATAGTAAATCGATTTGTTGTCTTCGTCGAACCAATTCACGAAAATTCATTAACATTTGCTTTTCGCTTTTGCAGCGAAATTCTTCTTCTCGGCGTTCTTCGGGTTTCCTAACACCACTACTCGCAGGATCACTGACCTGGCCCTCACTACCTCCACCACCACCATTCATAATATATATTATCAAAATCCTACTTTCACTGATATCATACCAAACATGTACCCTACCCCGTTTTGGCCCTCCTCGATTATTCTTTGCGAATGTATTGACATTCATTAACATAATTTCCCGATTTTCACAATTTCTACAGCGATTTTCGTTTTTAATTTTCCTCTCAAAGGCAGTATTGTTATTATTATTATTAATTTGTTGTTCGTGTTGTGGCTGCTGCTGTTGTTGTTGTGTCTGTTTTGGCCTCTTCTCTGGCTTACGCTGCAGCCTTAAGATGCGCGCTGTATAACACGACCACAGACACAGCAAAGAACTCAGCCACACCATCAACTTTTGGGCTTCACTATGTTTACGATATGATCCCCACTCCTCGCCGGATGTCTCATAGTTGGTAGCCCAGTATGGTATGCGACAGCGACTTTGCACCGTCGGCAAGGCCGGACAATTCTCGGAATAGGCTATTGCCGGCATATCATCAATATCCTCATCATAGTAATAAACACCATCGCAGTAGGCATAGTAAGGCAAACGTTCAGCCAGTCGGGTCACATTCATGGTCCAGGTATCGTTACGCACCGCAATGGCCACAGTGGACATTTGCACATCGTCGCTGGCCAATTGTTTTTGTATTTTCGTTTCCACTCTGGGGGCTTTTCCATTGCCGCCCGCCTTTATCGTTATGTTGTGGAGGCGTTTAACATTCTCCTTGTTAATCCTTTCGGCTTCCCGTTCAATATCCTTTGCGTCCAGAAATTCATTGCAATAGGTACAGATGCCATCGGCTGCCGTTTGGCAATATGTGTAACAGCATTCGTTGGGGCCATGACTGGCCTTGCGTAATTGTTCTTCCGTTTCCGCAATATTATAATCTGCCGAAAGGAACAAAAAGGAGAATATATTTTTTCATGTTAAAAAAAAATGAAATAAATTGAGTTACTATCCTGATACCAGGATATATGACCATCATACCTAGACATAAAAATGTTGGTTCACCGGCATATTGTGTTTGCATTGCTGGCGCCCGGTCTGCCGGCAACAGATATGGACATTTTTGTTCGACCGTCTGACAAACACTTAGACAGGGTCGTATCCGCCGCCGTTTGCGGAATTCCACTTTACGTTTTGATCTGCAATGACAGGGCATATTATGAGCATGAAATTAATATGAAATGATGTACCAAACGGTCAATATTTTAAAGATGTATGGTCAATATTAAGTGTGAAGATGGACCTATTGGGAATCTCCTTTTGGTACATACCTCCATTATGGTCAAATGTTTAATAAAACCAGTAAGGAAAGTAGTAATATCGGACGTGCCGACTATATGATACCCTTCACCACTTGTGGTATATTCTACATATATATCCTGACAGATGCCTCATTTTCGAAGAGACATTATCATGAAATTGAACGAACTTAAATATGTAATGTTTATCTTTATGACATCAATCCCTACACATGCCATCCTGCAACCTATGCCAAATTTTGTAAATCGATTTAAAGCATCGGGTTAAAATTTAATCTCAATTAGACACCCATTGATTATTTGTTGTACAATTAACATGACAGGTCGAAAGTATATATGGAAACTATGCATATCTGAATCTGAGCCGATTTCAAGGAAACTTGACACTCGTAAGTATTTACGAACTTTAGTACATTGTACAAAATTGTGTACCAATCGGGTAAACTTTGGGTCTTAAGTGCACAATTTACATTAATTCGGACGGAAATATATGAGGGAACTGTATATAAATCTGAACCGATTTTCACGAAACTTAGCACACATTATTATAGACTCAAATAAGTACTTTGTGCCAACTTTTCTGCAAATTAGAGGATATATAGGGGTTTTGGCTGGGGATCTACATAAAATCGGACTAAAATATATATGGGAGCGATATCTAAATCTGAACCCATTTTCACGAAACAAATTTCGTGCAAATCGAAAGTTATATTGGGACTATGGGAGCTATATCTAGACTCAATACAGTACACTATGCCGAATTTCGTGCAAATTGACCGATATATAGGGACTTTGGTGCACCATTTACATTAAACCGGACGAAAAAATATATGGGGAGCTATATCTAAATCTGAACCGATTTCTACGAAACTTAACGTACATCACTCTAGACTCAATTCAGTACGCTATGCCGAACTTTGTAACCAGTGATCGGAGCAGTATAGTCGGACGGACCATATGATACCCTACACAACTACCACGAAAAGCACACTTTCGGCGGTTCAATATTCTGAGCCTGGGCAATATTTCGTAATATTTGCAACCTTTTTACCGATTATAGATCAACAACTCCTCTTACTAAGTCTTGCATATTTTCCAAAAAAAAAAAATTGGTCACTTTAGGTTTTGTTTGATTTGACCCTCGGAAAATTGACCGATCATAATCTAGACAACCGCTCGAAATATTTGGTCAGATCCCCTTCACCTTGTATAATATGTGATTTTCTGTATATAATAATTTCCTCTAGAGCGACTAGAAAGTCTGACAAAATTAAAGTTTTCGGTTCATTGCACCCCCTGAATGAAATCTCAACTTCACCGAAAACTATAAGGGTCGTCCTTGACCATAATCGGAACTTCATGTACAATTTCAAAGCGATCAGCGCGACATTTCCGTCCTCTAATGGAGTAATAGTAATAATATGCACATAGTCACCTTTACTTAATTACGTATAACTCCCGCATCGGAGTACATACAGCCATATAATTGGTATCCATTTGAAGGTCAATAAATCATCTTGGACATACTATCAACATCTCGAGTATATGTCCTTCAGGAGCAAGTATATACAGCTCAGAATAAAAATGTTGTAATTTTTCACACAAAAGTCAGGATCCATTTGACCCGCTAAATATTCTTTGGCCCGATCCCCATGTAAAATATCACGATGTTCGGACCATAACTGCGGCCTCTGAAGCGACCAGAAAAACCGACAAAAATTTAGTATGTTGTCCATTTCATCCCCTAAATATTAACCGATCTTTATCAACAACAATTGGGGTCTTCATTGGCCAGAACCCATCCAAAATGCAAAATTTCGTGAAGATTGGTCCATAACTGTGGCCTGTATCGTGTTTACAAATTATAATGGACAGACGGACGGATGGACACACATGTCTAGATCGACTCAGCTAGTCGATATATGACGATCGGTATACTTAAAGGTGGGTCTAGGACCAATATTTCGCGGCGTTACAAATTTTCGGGCTGCACAAAGCTATAATATCCTGACAACATAGTTGTGTAGGGTATAAAAATCGATAAATATATAGGGACTTTGGTGCACCATTTATATTAAATCGGACGGAAATATATATATATATATGCTATGTCTAAATCTGAACCGATTTTCACGAAACATAGCACACATTATTCAAGGCCCAATTCAGTGCACTATGCCAAATTTCGTGCAAATCGAATGATATATAGGGACTTTGGTTCAGGATTTACATTAAATCGGACGAAAATATATATGGGAGCTATATCTAAATCTGAACCGATTACCGCGAAACTTAACACACATCATTCTAGACTAAATTTAGTATGCTATTCCGAATTCCGTGCAAATCGAATGCTATATGGGGGTTTTGGTTCAGGATTTACATAAAATCGGACGAAAATATATATGGGTGCTATATCTAAATCTGAACCGATTTTCACGAAACTTAATGTAAATCATTCTTGACTCAATTGAACAAATTTCAATAGGGTTCGTCCTTGGGCCAAATAAATAAGCTGTGCAAAATTTAATCCAATTCAGATTATAATTGAGACCTGTACTTTGTCTATGTGTATATCTCGATTCTTTTTGCCTGTTACAAACATATGCACAAAGACATAATACCCTGTTGCACAGTGTGGTGAAGGGTATAACTATGGGTCTAACTCGTTCCCATTTGATTGTTACAAAAAAATACACATATACACAATACCCTGTACCACTGTGTGGCAACTCCGACTGCTACTTTCAAACCATTTTGTAATCGAGTTTATGTGTATGAATATTCATAAGAAACCAACTACAAACCTTTTCAATAATTTCGATATCACCGGATCCTTATCAAATAAAGAATCCTCACTATTGGCAGTCGTTATGAAATTAATGGATTGTTGCTGTTGTTGTTGTAATTGTGGTTGTTTGACAACTATTTTACTATTATTTGGTTGTTCGATTTGATGATGCTTCGGCATCTCGTCATCATCTACCGCATCGCCATTGCTATCTTGTTCCGCTAAATTGGGTTTATTGTTAGCTGCTGCTGCTGCTACTGTATCGTCATTACGTTTTCGTCTTTTATTCGTTGATTTATTGTTATAATCGTAATGTTGACCCGAACTATTTAAGCCACTGGCAGTATTATCATCACTGGCATTGTCGTCGTCGTCGTCCTCATCATCATTGGCACTTCTTCGATTTGGACTTGTGGCCGCCGAGGAGTAGTGGTCAATGGTTGTTGTGGTCAACCTCCTCCTCGTCATTGCCGTCGTCGATGTCCCCGTTTTATTGATGAAGATGACATCGTTAAATGTTAATGCTTGTGTTTTTCTGGTTAATGTTGGTGGTGATGTTATTGTTGTTGCTGTTATCGACGAGCCCGATGCCTGGGCCGCAGATGCTCTCGACATGGCTACTGATTCGGATGCTGCTGATGATATTGGTGGCCTTGGAGTGTTATTGGTTGCTGATGCCATTGTCTGTGGTGGTGGTGATGGTCTTTTATGTAATGCATTATCGCTCGGAATGTAATTACGTTGCAATTTATCATTAAATTGTTTGCTATTGATGTGATGTCGCTGTTGTTGTTGTTGTTCTGCTGCTGCTTGTTCTTCTTCGTGTGTGTTTCTTCGCTTAACATGGTGATGATTGTTGGATGTATGTTGCAATTGTTGTTGTTGTTGTTCTTGATGTTGCCAATGCAAATGTGCCTGAATGTCATCATAATTGTTATTATTGCTATTTACCGTTGTGGTTGTTGTTGTTGTTTTTGCCGTATTGTAATTCGATGTTGTTGCTGCTCTTTTTGTTAGCTTAGTTGATGACATTCTTGTATTATTGCTGTTGTTGTTGTCGTCTGTATGCGTGGTAGTAGTATTTGTTGTCGCTGTTGTTATCGTTAAATGAGAGGTAGTCATGTTTGAGGCCATGTTGGTATTGTTGCTGTGGTTGTTGTTGTTGCCGCCTTCGCCGCTACTGCTGTTGGTGGTATATGAGGTGGGTGAATTGTTGTTGTCACTACTTTTAGCGTTCAATGCAATTGTCGCACGTTGATTACTTCCATCGTTTCCAACTGCAGCCTGATACGAATTTTGACCCGTTGGCTGTCCATGCTGTTCATATAGCTTATGAGGATACTGGCCACTGTCCGTTGTGGTTTCATAGATTTCTGGTGGTTTTATAACATCGTTGGGTTCGGCAAAATATGGCACCAACGTACTGCACACCCAGCGACGATAGGCTTCCTAAAAACGATATAAAGAGGAAAATTTTAAATTAGAAACAATTGTCAAAATTGTTGCTTTTTTTACTAACTGAAGGATTTGTTATCCTTGGTAACTAAATCATTGTTACTGAAAATGTATTCGTGTGCGTGAGAGCATAACAATAGACTATAATATACTGCTGTTGTAATAAAGAAGCAGAGTTTTATATTAATTTGATCACAGCACGTATCACATGAAGATTGCCCAGAGACATTTAAACAAGTGAAGTGTTGTAAATGTTTGGATCAAGTATTCAAGGATTGCAATGGGAAATAAGTAAGATAATCAAGTGGTTAAAAGGGTTAAAAATAAAAAAAAACAAATCTTTAAAAAAGTTAAATAATAATAATCAAATTCGGACGGTGCCGATTACTTGGATGCATGCCAGATTCTCTAGCTATATCTGAATGGATTTAAGTCAAACTTGAGACATGCTATACTACACTTAATTCGGTACGTTGAGAAATTTTTGTGAAAATATCGGAGTTGAAGGAGTTCCTGTCGCGTAGCCGGTGTTGGTATCTGTCAATAGGAGAAAGTCTTAAATCCCCGTCACCAAAAAACACCATGCTATTTAAAAGGATATTCTGTCATGTAGAAATAATTTCCTTGTTTTTATAGGGTTCTAAGGCCCATATCTTTTGATCCACAACAGATACAGCCACATATCGCATCATTTTGGAGAGAGCAAATTGTGGTCTATAATGGACCCATGTTCGACATTTAGGGAGTTTTTCGACTGTTTTACCAGTGTCGATGTTCGTTGACGACAACAACAACACCAGTAGCGGTAGAACATGAAAACACCAGCCAATCTCTACTACGTTGGCTGACTGGCTGGTAGGTTAGCAGCAGCTACCATAATTTTTCCTTTTTTTGCTGATTTACGCGGAAAGTATCCATGGAAGCTGTATCTAACACTGAAATAATTTTCCTAGTCTAGTCCCAGTGAAGAGTAACAATTTACATGGTGGTTATATCCGAACATCGATTTGCACGAAATTTGGCATAGCGTACTGAATTAAGTCTAGAACGGTGAGATCTAAATAAAACCAGTGAGCGGAGCAGTATAGTCGGACGGGGCCGACCATATGATACCCTACACAACTACCACAAAAGCAAACTTTCGGCGGTTCTATATTCTGAGCCTGGGCAATATTTCGTGATATTTGCACTCTTTTTACCGATTATAGGTCAACAACTCCACTTTCTAAGTCTTGCATATTTATACCCTACACAACTATGTTGTCAGGGTATTATAGCTTTTTGCAGCCCCAAATGTTTGTAACGCCGCGAAATATTGGTCCTAGACCCACCTTAAGTATACCGATCGTCATATCTCGACTAGCTGAGTCGATCTAGACATGTGTGTCCGTCCGTCCGTCTGTCCGTTATATGTTGTAAACACGATAGAGGCCACAGTTATGGACTAATCTTCACGAAATTTTGCATGTAGGATGAGTTCTGGCCAATGAAGACCCCTATTGTTTTTGGAAAATATCGATTAATATTTAGGGGATGAAATGGACCAAAAACATTATTTTTGTCGGTTTTTCTGATTGCTCCAGAGGCCGCAATTATGGCCCAAACACCGCGAATTTTTGCATGGAGAATGGGATTGGGCAAGAGAATAAGCATGCATGTTTTGATAAAGATCGGCCAACATTTAGCGTGTCAAATGGACCCTGACTTTTGTGTGAAAAATTACAAAATTAGCATTCTATGGCATATATATTTACTCCTGGAGGATGTAGACCCGAGGAGTTGATAGCATATCTAAGAGGTGTGGTTTGCCTTTAAATTGATACCAAATATAGTGATGTATCTACTCAGATTTGGGAGTTACAGTCAAATATTTACAGGTGCTTACGTATTCAGATATTATTTAGTAACCCATTACCACATTAGAGGGGAAAATATCGCGCCGATGGCTTTAACATTTTTCATGAAGTTCCAGTTATGGTCAAGAACAACGCCTACAATTTTCGGTGATGATCAGATTAAAATTTTGGGTTGAAATGGACCAACAACTTAATTTTTTGTGTGTTTTCGAGTCGAGTATAATCCGAAAATCACAACACAACCCACCATGAAGATAATCTGGACAAGTAATTAGATGAACTGTACTGAATATTCGAAAAAGTAAGGAAGAGGTGTTGTTGACCTCTAATCGGGCAAGAGGGGGCAAATATCACGAAATATTACTCAGACTCAGAATAAACATCCTCAGAAAGTTAGAGTTCGTGGTAGTTGTGTAGGGTATCGTATGGTCGGCCCCGTCCGACTATACTGCTCCGCTCACTGGTTTTCAAAATGTTTTTTCTTGAAGTGAATTTTTACGACATAAAATAAAAAATTGGTCACTTTAGGTTTTGGCTGATTTGACCTCGGAAAATTGACTGATCATCATCTAAACAGCCGCTCTAAGTATTTGGTCAGATCCCCTTCACCTTGTAAAATATATGATGTTCTGTATATAATAATTGCCTCTAAAGCGACTAGAAAATCTGACAAAATTAAAGTCTTCGGTTCATTGCACCCACTGAATGAAATCTCAACTTCACCGAAAACAATAGGCGTCGTCCTTGACCAAAATCGGAAATTCATGTACAATTTCAAAGCGATCAGCGCGACATTTCCGTCCTCTAATGGAGTAATAGTAATACTATGCACATAGTAACCTTTGCCTAATTACGTATAACTCCCACATCAGAGTACATACAGCCATATAATTGGTATCAATTTGAAGATCAAAAACTCCTCTTGGATATACTATCAACTTCTCGGGTATATGTCCTTCAGGAGCAAGTATATACAACCCAGAATAAACATTTTGTAATTTTTCACACAAAAGTCAGGGTCCATTTGACCCGCTAAATATTGACCGATCTTTATCAAAAAAGGGATGCGCATTCTTAAGCCCTCCATATAAAATATCACGATGTTCGGACCAAAACTGCGGCCTCTGGAGCGACCAGGAAAACCGACAAAAATTTAGTATTTGGCCCATTTCATCCCCTAAATATTAACGGATCTTTACCAAAAACAATAGGGGTCTTCATTGGACCGAACCTAACCTACATGCAAAATTTCGTGAAGATTGGTCCATAACTGTGGCCTGTATCGTGTTTACAAATTATAATGAACAGAGGACGGACGGACACACATGTCTAGATCAACTCAGCTAGTCGAGATATGACGATCGGTATACTTAAAGGTGGGTCTAGGACCAATATTTTTGGGGCTGCAAAAAGCTATAATACCCTGAACATAGTTATGTAGGGTACAATTATATTTAGCATAGGTTGCAGAAATGCATGAGTATGTTCCTTCAAGGGGACATGGACATGCAATTGCAGGAATACATATATATAATATACCGAAGGTGGTGAAGGATATCATATAGTCGGCCCCAATGGTTTTTGGTTAAAATAGTTGCCTGATTTGTTCCTGACGAAAATGAAATATATCGGCCAGCATTAGGCATCTCCCCCCATATAATGATACTTACTGAAGGAACGAGTTCGTTCATACCCACTCTAATAAAATGCATTCAGCACTGAAGTTTATTGGGTTTTGTTATATTGTTGTTGAAACATAACAATTGGTACGAAACTATTGTTGGGATCCCTAAGGGAGTTTAAGAACTTTTCATCTACTCTTACGTTAAAGTGAAGAGGCAAAAGTTCACACATTTTCTGACAAAATACACCATGTGGCAAGCATTCATTTTAACACTCAAGTTTAATTCTTATTCATGATTTTTTTTTTTTGAAAAGTGTATACAAAAGTAATTCAATTTCAATTATTTATATTCAATTTCAATTCAAATATTTAGTATAATTTATCACATCTAAAAGAGTGTGATATTTTGATATTAATCTCATTTTTCCAAAAGCATATAAAGAACAAAACATAAAACCTCATTTCGATAACTCATCACACGAAATAAATAATTTATACAGATTGAACATTTATGTTATTCTTGATGGATGGTGTGAGAATATTTCATATTTTCGCTTTCACTCGCTTTTTTAATATATTGATACCAAAAGAAATAAAAACATAATTAAAATTCAATTACATTGAATTACTTCAATATTATTAATCATTTATTTTCTTTCTATTTTCAAGTACCCTGCAAGCAATTGGAAGTGAGTTTCTCACTCCCTCGCCCAATAAGTCACTTATTGGGCGTAACGTCTAGAAGTAATTTCCGCGATACTACGCATATGACACGCAGAAGTTACTTCTTGGAAGTGACGCAGACGTGGTTCATTTCTTCCCGAAGGAGGTGACTTCCGCGATAAGAATGCGACTATCTTCCGCGACTGTTTCTATCGCCTTGACGTTACTTCGACTTAACTTCCGCGATAGTTTTTGCTTGCAGGCTATAGAATTTTGTAATGCATGTGACACGCAGAAGTTACTTCTTGGAAGTGACGCGGATGTGGTTCATTTCTTCCCGAAGGAGGTGACTTCCGCGATAAGAACGCGACTATCTTCCGCGACTGTTTCTATCGCCTTGACGTTACTTCGACTTAACTTCCGCGATAGTTTTTGCTTGCAGGGTATAGAATTTTGTAATGCATGTGTGTGTGTCCGTTTGTTGAATTCACCGAGTTTCACGGAAACTGTCAGTACATTTGTATTTCTCGTTTTCTCTCTCTCATTGTGATATTTTTATGATTATTAGTTATGGCGCCATATTTGTTTCATTTTGACATACAACAATGACAGGAAAACACTTTGTTGTTATAGATTTTTATCGTCTGGTCTGGTCGGGTCTGGTTGTGGTGAGTACGAGGGTGCCTGCAACCTGGCATGCCCTTCTTTACCATTTTATTTAATAGGTTTTCCTGTCTCCATTGTCGGAGTGTGAATTTCCTTTTCCTTTTTAGGCATTTTCATGTTAATTACTTTGTTGTTGTAAAAAAGAAAATAAGTTCGTTAAATGAGAAAAAAAGCGTCGTTGTTGT